ATAAAAGTAATCAGTTAGAAAACTTTAATGAAATGTATGATTGGTAAAGGATATAAAAGCTGCAACAGGAGGGAGAAGCCTGAATAGACTATAATACAAAATAAAACAAATCCAATTGTTGTTAAGTGGATTCCGAGTAAAACTTCCACATAAGGTCTCCAAGGATGTCAAGCTTTACTGAAACAGACTGCCACAGCTTTCTCCTGTTGCACAGGAGCCCAGCCTAGCACTTAACCAATGTGTCACCATAAGCAATTTGTCAGAATGTACCCTTAAAACAGACAGCAAGCCCAGATCTATAAACCAGTGGTCTTTAAGAGGAAACACAAGGGGGTCTTCAAAAATGTCATGGAAAATGCATACTTAAAAAAAGCTGTGCAGGATTTAAAAAGTTTATGGACCAAAATACACTCATACTAATTTGTTATATACAACATGTCTGAACAGGATCTAGTTTGAAGCACTATGAAGGTTATCACTTTGAAAACAGTCCCTATTTTCTGCTAAATTTGAAGCAAGAACAAACATCAAATTTATGGTGACGCTTGGGTGGAAAAGAGGTAGAATCACTGATGCGTTACAAAATGTTTATGAGGACAATGTCCCAAAGAAATCAGTTTACAAATGGATAACTCGTTTCAGGGCGGGGCAGACAATGTTGAAGATGAAGCCTAAAGTGGTAGCCCATCCACATATTTTAGAGGAAACAATCTTGTTTGTGTCCTAATTGATGAGGACCACAATTATTAGCAGGAATAATAGCCAGTATATCTCAATTACTTCTGTTTACAAAATTTTGACTGAAAAATAAAGTTGGGCAAACTTCATGCTTGATAGATGCCAAAACTGTTGTGCCCAGATCAGATGCAGACAAGAGAGGAGTTTTTGATGGAAATGAATTGTAAAAGGAGATAAACCATGGCTTTGCCAGTAAAATCATAAAGACAAAAAGCAATGGCTACTAAGAGGTGGAGGTGGGCCAGTCAACAGCAAATGTCATGGCAACGGTTTTTTGGGACGCTCAAGGCATTTCACTTGTTGATTTTTGGAGGGTCAAAGAATAACTTCTGCATATTATGACTTTTTTGAGAAAGTAAGTGAAAGTTTTAGCAGAAACACACCAAGAAAGCTTCACTAGAGAGTCTTCTCATCTTTCTTCTTATCAAATAAGGGCAATTTGGCAAGACTCTTTCGGGAAATCATTACACCTGGTTCAGCTCCTTTTCACTTATTTTTGTTCCCCTATCTTAAAAAATCTTTAAAAGGCATTCATTTTTCTTCAATTAACATTGTAAGAAGGACTGCACTGATATGGTTACATTCTCAGGATCCTTCTGAAATCATTGCTTTTAAGTGTCTTGACCTTGACAGAGCATATGTTGAGAAATAAAAAGTTTTTATATTTTGAATTTTTAATCTTTTAATTCCATTTTTCCATGAACTTTATTATATCAAGTTTCTGTTTTTACCTTGTAATTAAAATTTCCCACAAACTGTATGAAATCACCTTGTACATGTTCAGGAAGTCTTGCCAAGAGTTAGGCACTGCAGATATCTTAAGGAAATCAACTTCCAGATACTCAAAAGTTTTACAGGCACTCTTTCTTCTTTCACTCTAAATAAAGGGCACATCAAACCCTTTCCAGTGTCTTCCTACCGATACAATGACCTGTGGTGTAAAAGTTCCAAAACCCCAAATGGACTTATGTTAAAGAAGTCAGGTCTCAGAAGAAGTGGGGTGGAGCCGTTTGTTAGGTCTCCTGAAATCTGGTATTTGGTAGATGAGTTGGAACCAACTCTATGGCACTTAACAACAACACAATCCTCTAATTGGAGTCCTGGTGAAGTGTTGTAGGATAAGGAC